CTTGGGCCACCAGCTGTGGGAGTGGGGCGTCTCATCTTGGGCCACCAGCTGCGGGAGTGGGGCGTCTCATCTTGGGCCACCAGCTGTGGGAGCGGGGCGTCTCATCTTGGGCCACCAACTGTGGGAGTGGGGCGTCTCATCTTGGGCCACCAGCTGCGGGAGCGGGGCGTCTCATCTTGGGCCACCAGCTGTGGGAGCGGGGCGTCTCATCTTGGGCCACCAGCTGTGGGAGTGGGACGTCTCATCTTGGGCCACCAGCTGCGGGAGCGGGGCGTCTCATCTTGGGCCACCAGCTGTGGGAGTGGGGCGTCTCATCTTGGGCCACCAGCTGTGGGAGTGGGGCGTCTCATCTTGGGCCACCAGCTGTGGGAGCGGGCGTCTCATCTTGGGCCACCAGCTGTGGGAGCGGGGCGTCTCATCTTGGACCACCAGCTGCGGGAGCGGGGCGTCTCATCTTGGGCCACCAGCTGTGGAAGCGGGGCGTCTCATCTTGGGCCACCAGCTGTGGGAGCGGGGCGTCTCATCTTGGGCCACCAGCTGCGGGAGCGGGGCGTCTCATCTTGGGCCACCAGCTGTGGGAGTGGGGCGTCTCATCTTGGGCCACCAGCTGTGGGAGCGGGGCGTCTCATCTTGGGCCACCAGCTGTGGGAGCGGGGCGTCTCATCTTGGACCACCAGCTGCGGGAGCGGGGCGTCTCATCTTGGGCCACCAGCTGTGGGAGCGGGGCGTCTCATCTTGGGCCACCAGCTGTGGGAGCGGGGCGTCTCATCTTGGGCCACCAGCTGCGGGAGCGGGGCGTCTCATCTTGGGCCACCAGCTGTGGGAGCGGGGCGTCTCATCTTGGGCCACCAGCTGTGGGAGCGGGAACAAACAGGTATGATAGCACACCAACCGGTGTGATAGCACACATATAAATATGCTCTCACTTGCCTCGCTATCCTCCGGAGCATAATAATTGTCTAGCAGTATTGATCAGTTCACACCTGAGCACATCCCAACACACCTCTCCAATCTCAACAACTAAAGGATGTTCTAATCCATCTAATCCACATCAAATCACACATCTAATCCACTGGCATTTTCAATCGCCTTTGAAACCACCGTGTTAGATAAATTGTCAATTTTTATACGTATATTCGGTTGATTGGGGGTATATCGATATATCTTCCAGTTCCAGGATATATTTCTTTGATCTTTCAATGTTTCCTGGAAGCTATGCAAGCAAAATTACAGGGATTATAGCGAATTATAAGGAATCATATATCAATGGCAATCAAACAAGGCGATTAGTAACCTCTTCAGAAATTACACTGTACTGATTAGATTAGAAGGTACATGATTATAAATAAAATCATACAATCATTTATAATTCTATAATATTAATTATATTTAAAGAAGGCCCGGTCTCTGACCAAGCCTCCTGGATGATAGTCTGATCATTCAGGAGGCCAGGAGACAATCGACTTGAGAATGGTCCTGGACGGACCGAAACGTCGTCGTCCCTTCACCTTCTAGTGTGTGGTCTGGACAACATAGTCTGATTAACCACCATAAAAGCAAGTTATATGTAATATTTCGTACGGAAAATAACCTAAAGTGTTGGAAACAACTTGATTACATACGCCACAGCGAACCGAGCGATTTCCAAGTAGCACGGGCTATGGCGAGCCCGTAAGTACTTGTAAATAACCTTTTGGTTCGTTACAATGACATATCAGAACGAGGGCAGAAGGCGCTGGTGGGAGGGCAAACGCCTCCTCCTGTCATCTTCACTATCAGTCGAGGTAAATGTCAAGATATGCTAACGGGTTGAGAGGATGCTGAGCTTAGACCAGGGGGCAGCGCCCTCCGACAATGCTTGCCTTGTCACATTGTCATATTGAGGAAGAAAATGCGTTTCTCTCACCCCAGTCTGTGTAGCACGCAATGTCCAAGCACCATTCTTTTGTTTTGTGTATCTGGCAGTTGGTCTCGGCTTCTCTTGCTTGTAAGTGACAGTCAAATGAGAGTTCCAAGTCTTCTGGCTTGTATGTGACTGTCAAATGAGTGTTTCATGTCCTCTTGCTTGTATGTGACGGTCAAATGAGTGTTCCATGTACTCTTGCTTGTAAGTGACGGTCAAATGAGTGTTACATATCCTCTTGCTTGTACGTGACAGTCAAATGAGTGTTCCATGTCCTCTTGCTTGTAAGTGACGGTCAAATGAGTGTTTCATGTCCTCTTGCTTGTATGTGACACTCAAATGAGTGTTACATATCCTCTTGCTTGTATGTGACAGTCAAATGAGTGTTCCATGTCCTCTTGCTTGTAAGTGACGGTCAAATGAGTGTTCCATGTCCTCTTGCTTGTAAGAGACGGTCAAATGAGTGTTTCATGTCCTCTTGCTTGTAAGTGACGGTCAAATGAGTGTTTCATGTCCTCTTCGACGGTCAAATGAGTGTCAAATATCCTCTTGCATGTAAGTGACAGTTAAATGAGTGTCAAATGTCCTGTTAGTTACAAGTGGCAATTTTATGAGAGATTGCAAATCATGCAACTTAAATATAGCATTCATATGATTGTTACAGCTCCTCTAGCTTCCTGGAACACTATATAACTCTTGCGTTTTGTCCCACCGGTGTTGTGTATAGGTGTGTATGATACAGAGGATCATACACCGGTGTAGATATACACTCAACTCGTGTATTTACGTATGTACGAACCAGTTAACACAGCTCAAGACATATTCAGTTAGATAATACAACGTAATACAATGCAATACACGGGGGAATACATGTTAATACACGTGAAGAATGAAGTGTTGTCGTGGTCTTCCAGGTCTGTACAGCAGGGCCTCGTGGGAGTACCTGGAGTTTGGCTGAGACTCTGTGTTTCTTGAGTCCTGGTAAGGAAGGAAATGGAGGAAATGTCACTGGAGTTGTGAGACATAACTGAGACGTTGCTGGTGTGGAGGGGGCACACCTGAGGTAGACTTGGTCTTGGCAGGTGTGTCAAGAGAAACAGTCTACACATGTAGACCAAGAGAAACAGTCTACACATGTAGACCAGGACAGGAGAAACAGCCTACATGTGTAGACCAAGACAGGAGAAACAGTCTATACATGTAGACCAAGAGAAAAGAAACAGTCTACACATGTAAACCAAGACAGGAGAAACAGTCTACACATGTAAACCAGACAAGAGAAACAGTTCACACATGTAGACCAGGACAGGAGAAACAGTTCACACATGTAGACCAGGACAGGAGAAACAGCCTACATGTGTAGACCAAGACAGGAGATATAGTCTACACATGTAAACCAAGACAGGAGAAACAGTCTACACGTGTAAACCAAGACAGGAGAAACAGTCTACACGTGTAAACCAGGACAAAAAACAGTCTACATATGTAAACCAAGACAAGAGAAACAGTCTACACATGTAAACCAAGACAGGAGAAACAGTCTACATATGTAAACCAAGACAGGAGAAACAGTCTACACATGTAAACCAAGACAGGAGAAACAGTCTACACATATAAACCAGAATGTTCCAGACCACACATTAATATCGACAAATATCAGATACAAAGAATACTGACGTTACCCTAGTGGCCTGGCCGACGACCGGGCCGCATGGATGCTAAGCCCCGAAAACACCTCGAAGTCGAATCTTACCTTGCTCTAGGGCTCACCCCTAGCTGGTGTTCCACCCGGCTGTTGTGGTCAGCGTTGCTGTGTAAATCTACCCACGAAAACATTTCAGGTGTGTGGATTGAGAGTCCTAATGTTCAAGTAGGTTATTGTGGCTTGCTGTTTGCAGTGCGGGGGGTGTGGTGGTCTTGAAGGGGCTAAAGATATCAAGAGGATAGGCTGAACAGAACGTAATTGGGTGTAAATAGGGCCTGTCCTGAATTGTCTTGAGTTTACATTGTCTTGAGTTTACATTGTCTTGAGTTTACATTGTCTTGAGTTTACATTGTCTTGAGTTTACATTGTCTTGAGTTTACATTGTCTTGAGTTTATATTGTCTTGAGTTTATATTGTCTTGAGTTTATTGTCTTGATTGTCTTGAGTTTATATTGTCTTGAGTTTACATTGTCTTGAGTTTATATGTCTTGATTGTCTCTTGAGTTTACATTGTCTTGAGTTTATATTGTCTTGAGTTTATATTGTCTTGAGTTTATATTGTCTTGAGTTTATATTGTCTTGAGTTTATATTGTCTTGAGTTTACTTGATTGTCTTGAGTTTATATTGTCTTGAGTTTACATTGTCTTGAGTTTACATTGTCTTGAGTTTATATTGTCTTGAGTTTATATTGTCTTGAGTTTACATTGTCTTGAGTTTACATTGTCTTGAGTTTATATTGTCTTGAGTTTACATTGTCTTGAGTTTACATTGTCTTGAGTTTATATTGTCTTGAGTTGTCTTGAGTTTACATTGTCTTGAGTTTATATTGTCTAGAGTTTACATTGTCTTGAGTTTATATTGTCTTGAGTTTACATTGTCTTGAGTTTATATTGTCTTGAGTTTACATTGTCTTGAGTTTACATTGTCTTGAGTTTATATTGTCTTGAGTTTATATTGTCTTGAGTTTATATTGTCTTGAGTTTACATTGTCTTGAGTTTACATTGTCTTGAGTTTACATTGTCTTGAGTTTATATTGTCTTGAGTTTACATATTGCTTGGCTTTGTCCCAAGGCAGCGTGAGTGGCCGCCCAGGTGAGTGGGGTAGTGCCAAGAGCTCTCAAAGGTGGCACAGGTGGCACAGGTGTGGGGACATTTAGTGCCAGGTAAGCATTAGAGTGACGCAGGCAGACCCAGGGACACCAGACTCGTGGAATAATGCCAGATATTAATTAAGACACTTAATACCCTCCGTCCACGACGACTCCACAGGGTCTGAGGGCGGTCCGTGACTAGTTAATCACCCAGCACAGAACCCCCCGAAGGTTCAGAAGTGAATGGCGAGTCTTCACGAGGCGTTTTGATTGGCTGCATATAAATTACGACGGTGTTTATGTACGCCAGAGGCCGCCAGAGGCCGCCAGAGGCCGCCAGAGGCCGCCAGAGGCCGCCAGAGGCCGCCAGAGACCGCCAGAGGCCGCCAGAGACCCCCAGAGACCGCCAGAGACCACCAGAGACCCCTAGAGACCGCCAGAGACCGCCAGAGACCACCAGAGACCACCAGAGACCGCCAGAGACCGCCAGAGTCCGCCAGAGACCGCCAGAGACAGCCAAAGGCCGCCAGAGGCCGCCAGAGGCCGCCAGAGGCCGCCAGAGGCCGCCAGAGGCCGCCAGAGGCCGCCAGAGGCCGCCAGAGGCCGCCAGAGGCCGCCAGAGTCCGCCAGAGTCCGCCAGAGACCGCCAGAGACCACCAGAGACCGCCAGAGTCCGCCAGAGTCCGCCAGAGACCGCCAGAGACCGCCAGAGACCGCCAGAGACCGCCAGAGGCCGCCAGAGACCGCCAGAGACCGCCAGAGGCCGCCAGAGGCCGCCAGAGGCCGCCAGAGGCCGCCAGAGGCCGCCAGAGGCCGCCAGAGGCCGCCAGAGACCGCCAGAGTCCGCCAGAGTCCGCCAGAGTCCGCCAGAGACCGCCAGAGACAGCCACAAGGCCGCCAGAGTCCGCCAGAGTCCGCCAGAGTCCGCCAGAGTCCGCCAGAGTCCGCCAGAGTCCGCCAGAGTCCGCCAGAGACCGCCAGAGACAGCCAAAGGCCGCCAGAGGCCGCCAGAGGCCGCCAGAGGCCGCCAGAGGCCGCCAGAGACCGCCAGATACAGCCAAAGGCCACCAGAGGTCGCCAAACGCTACCAATAGATTCGCCGCGAAAGAAGGAGACGACCAGAAGACGTCTGAAGACGCCACAACTATTAGAAGACGTCAGAAGACGCCACAACCCTCAAGACGCAAACACAGGATATCAGAAGACGTCAGATAGACGTCAAAAAAGAGGTTCATATACCTGATATCAAAATCTCCCAACCCTGGCAAGTACAAACATAACTACAGGATTATTTTTTTTTGTTTGCGCTGCTATCTTTTGTGCTGCTTGCACAGTAAAGTATTTAGTGCAATGTTATCTGACGTTTCTTGGCACTGCGCTTATCTCTTCAACGCGATATGGAGTCAGTCAAGGCAGCAGCAGGTCGTTCAAGGTTGGGAAGGGGGGGGGGGTAAGCTGTTCCTCTCTCCCTCTGTAAGGAGAGGAAGAGCTTGAGTTATAGAGTTGGCTCCTTTGTAACTCAAGAATCCTAGCTACAATAGCAGCAGCATCATCTTCAACAGCAGTAATATTAGCAACAGGAACAGCAGCAGCAGCAGCAGCAGCAGCAGCACCAGATGCAGCAGCAGCAGCAGCACCAGATGCAGCAGCAGCAGCAGCACCAGATGCAGCAGCAGCAGCAGCACCAGATGCAGCAGCAGCACCACCACCACCAGATGCAGCAGCAGCAGCAGCACCAAATACAGCAGCAGCAGCAGCAGCAGCAGCACCAGATGCAGCAGCAGCAGCAGCAGCACCAGATGCAGCAGCAGCAGCAGCAGCAGCACCAGATGCAGCAGCAGCAGCAGCACCACCACCAGATACAGCAGCAGCAGTAGCAGCACCACCAGATGCAGCAGCAGCAGCAGCAGCACCAGATACAGCAGCAGCAGCAGCAACACCACCAGATACAGCAGCAGCAGTAGCAGCACCACCACCAGATGCAGCAGCAGCAGCAGCAGCACCAGATACAGCAGCAGCAGCAGCACCACCACCAGATACAGCAGCAGCAGTAGCAGCACCACCACCAGATGCAGCAGCAGCAGCAGCAGCAGCACCAGATACAGCAGCAGCAGCAACAACACCAGATACAGCAGCAGCAGCAGCAGCACCACCAGATGCAGCAGCAGCAGCAGCACCAGATACAGCAGCAGCAACAGCAGCAACACCAGATACAGCAGCAGCAACACCAGACACATCAGCAGCAGCACCAGATGCAGCAGCAGCAGCAGCAGCAGCACCAGATACAGCAGCAGCAGCACCACCAGATGCAGCAGCAGCACCAGAAACAGCAGCAGCAGCAGCAGCAACACCAGATACAGCAGCAGCAGCACCAGATACAGCAGCAGCAGCAGCAGCAACACCAGATACAGCAGCAGCAACACCAGACACAGCAGCACCAGATGCAGCAGCAAGGCGGCAGCGGCCTGGCAGTCATCACGCCAGAAGGTCAACGACTTCGTCATTTCCTGTCGAGATACAGAGTGATCAGGTGTGTGAGGCGCGAGAGAGAGAGAGAGAGAGAGAGAGAGAGAGAGAGAGAGAGGAGGGAGAGAGACAGAGAAGAGAGACAGGGAAGGGGACAAAAGGAGCAAGTAGAGATGGTGAAACATATACTGAAATAGGTTCAGTCCTAGTTAGTAGGTAGTTAAAAGTTCTAAGCCCTCCAATTCTGGCGTCAAGCGAGTCGTCTATAAACCCACAAGAACTGGGAGTGACAATATCGGGAAAATCCTTAATACGCTTACGGGCGCCAGACCTCTTCTGTCCTCAGCGTTACCGCCCGGGGCGCCAAGGCCACGCTGGTCACGGCGGTCATGAGGCTGTTCGACCCCTGACGAGTCACCAGGCTCCTGACCCCTGCAATTCTTGACACAAATAGCTATCGTTCCGTTACTTTATCTACCCCAGTGAGGCTGTTCTCTAGCATCTTGAGCAGTGACACCTTGGATCACGCTGTCATAAGTCAAGCCTGGCCTCGGGCCGGGCTTGGGGAGTAGAAGAACTCCCAGAACCTCATCAACCAGGTATATGTAGGCCTGCGGGCCGCTCCAAGCAACAGCCTGGTGGACCAAACTCTCACAAGTCAAGCCTGGCCTCGGGCCGGGCTTGGGGAGTAGAAGAACTCCCAGAACCCCATCAAGCAGATGTCAAGCAGTCGACTTTCAAAAGCAGTCAAGAGCTACAGGCGGCAAAAGAGTATTTGTCTTTATGAACGGATGCGCTGGTAAGCTGACAGGCCTGGCTGCCATCTTTGCCAAGCTTTGTAGCCGGATTTACAGATGGTGTAGGGTAATGTCTCCCATCCGGCCTCCGAGGGGGACCCGGAGCCGGGTTCACACTGGACGAGGGGAGTGTATCAACACACTCCTGGGCTGACAGTGATGAGGTCGATGGTAGACTACAGAAATGCATTATAGCATCTGGTGTCACATTGGCATGCGTAGACCTTATCTTGAGGTTATCTTGAGATGATTTCGGGGCTTTAGTGTCCCCGCGGCCCGGTCCTCGACCAGGCCTCCACCCCCAGGAAGCAGCCCGTGACAGCTGACTAACACCCAGGTACCTATTTTACTGCTAGGTAACAGGGGCATAGGGTGAAAGAAATTTTGCCCATTGTTTCTCGCCGGCGCCTGGGATCGAACCCTGGACCACAGGATCACAAGTCCAGCGTGCTGTCCGCTCGGCCGATCGGCTCCCTGGCAGCTACAGGACCTTAAGGTTAAGTGACGTACCCTTAGTCAAGTGCTGACTGCAGCTCATAAAAAGAGGCACGTCAATAAAGACGGATCTATTCTGATAAACGTCGTAGATTCAAGATGGATTCCGGTACATCAGGAAAGCCCCCGGAGCCCTAAGAGTGTGTGTGTTCATCCTTAAACAGTCCGCGAGACTGGTCCACTCTCTGGTAGTCTGGCTTAGGAGGAAACAGGCAGGTTCAGTTAGCAGGTAGAGGGCGTTCGCAGCTGAGTGTGTGTGCCGCACGATACACCTGACACCTTTACCGGCCTGGGTCGATGTTGCTGCAGTCAGCGGCTCCATCAGAGTAGCGGCCGGCCATCCTGTCCTGCAGGTCAGCGATGACTGCTGCAAATCCGAACTCATTTGCCTCAGAAAACTTTATGGGAACAGGAGGCCCTGTCCCCATACACTGGAGGGCCCTGTTTCCGTACGCTGTAGGGCTCTGTTCCCATACACTAGAGGGCCCTGTCCCCATACACTAGAGGGCCCTGTCCCCATACACTAGATACACTAGAGGGCCCTGTCCCCATACACTAGAGGGCCCTGTTCCCATACAACTGAAGGGGCCCTATGCTCCAAGACATAAGGAGACATATTGTGTTCTTACCGACATCTTTACTTGTGTGAGGTGTGAGTTAAGGTGATCATGAGGAAGTTCTATGTCCTGTATGAGTATATATGTACCACGTGGCAGGGATATGAGGGCCAGGAGCAGAGATATGAGGACAAGTCTCTGGGAATGTAAGATGTAGGAACTAATCGTTTATTTCACCTTAAGTTTTATAAAGAATAGTAAACCATTAGACTACGATGAATGGTCTATCCATTCGCTGGGGGCTAGGGATACCCCCCCCCCTCCTCCCTGGCCCCCAGCGGCAGGGGGGGGGGGAGAAAGAGCCGAAGCTCAACCCCCGCAAGCACAACTAGATGAGTACAAAGAAGTTTAGCATTGAAAAGGTGCAAACTAGATGTAAGAGATATGTTAATCAAGGGAGGTGGAAGAGAGAGAGGTGAGGGAGAGTGGATACTGAGGGAGAGTGAGGGACACTGAAGGAGAGTGAGAGAGAGTGAGGGACACTGAGGGAGAGTGAGGGAGGACTTATCTGCACAGGAAAGATATCAAGTGACGGCTATCCATGTCGCCCCTCTTCAAACTCTGATCCTCTCCTCCCTCCACACCCTATGTATTCCCAATATACACCCCATACACTCTTCCATGGCGGTGTGTTCACTCACAGGATGAGTGGCGCTGCCCAATACTCGATACAAGCCCAACATGTGTATATATATATATATATATATATATATATATATATATATATATATATATATATATATATATATATATATATATATATATATATATAACAATGATCACAAAAACACTGATCCATATGAAAAATAGAAAATGCTAAACATTTTCTAATGTTTAGCATTTTCAATAGAAAATGCTAAACTAGCATTTTCTATTTTTCATATGTGGTTATTCTGCATATATATATATATATATATATATATATATATATATATATATATATATATATATATATATATATATATATATATATAATATACTGGCTGCTTGTCCCCCGACACAGAAATCACAATAGCGTGATGCATCAATGAACAAATCCACAAGGCCCATGACGAGGATTCGAACCTACGTGTATTTGGTTTGTGTCTCGGAGAGGCTACAGGATCCAAGTAAGTTCAGTTAAACTTCTGGTTTCAACTTTTTTTGACCATGTCGTAGCTCAGTCGATTAAGGCAGCGTCTGGGGGGCTCTCGGACGTAGGTTCGAATCCTCGTCACGGCCCTTGTGGATTTGTTTAGGAATGAGGAATGTCTCACCGCCAGATCTTGAGACACAGGTCATCTGGCCTCTATAAAGTAATGAGGAGCGTTGATTAAACAGTACTGTTGTCTAAACGGAACTTTGCGTGTATTCAACATTGTGTTTTAAATAGCCTTGATATTTTTCTTATTGAATACAATGATAATGATTGATATTATTTTTGTTTAGGGGGGAACTAAATCAGTTGTATATGTACAATATTTTATGAATGTCATTTTTATTTGATTGTATTTGATTCAGAATTAGTAGTTAATGGGGGTTTAAAAAGATATCGTTGTTATATTAGTTTATTTGGGGTATTTATAGCCCAAAACAAAAGCAAAATACAATTGGCTGTTTTGGGATGCTTTTTGCATGGCATTTCAACTAGATGTCATTTTAAAAGTACCGAATCACCTACTGTCGTTGAGTGTTCAATAAACCCTTGAACTATATGTTTAACACATCTCTCACCCTGTCCATGGAGGACAGAAGAAAATGTATGTATGCTGGTTAGCATTTTAAATGTCTGGCCACGTCTGTGGTAGAAAAATATTAATAATAAAAAAAAAAAAACTTGGTGTCGCCCATTTGCAACATCAGATACTTGGTATCTGTCAAGGTATCTGTGAATACTGTGTATTTACCTAGTTGTGCTTGCGGGGGTTGAGCTCTGGCTCTGTCGGCCCGCCTCTCAACTGTCAATCAACTGTTACTAGCTACTATTTTTTTCTCCCACACCACACACCCCAGGAAGCAGCCCGTGACAGCTGACTAATTCCCAGATACCTATTTACTGCTAGGTAACAGGGACATTAAGGTTAAAGAAACGCTGCCCATTGTTTCTCGCCGGCGCCCGGGATCGAATCCGGGACCACAGGATCACGCGTCCAGTGTGCTGTCCGCTCAGCCACCGGCCCCTGGGATTCCACTGTACTCACCTATTTGTGCTTGCGGGGGTTGAGTTTTGGCTCTTTGGTCCCGTCTCTCAACTGTCAATCAACTGGTGTACAGGTTCCTGAGCCTACTGGGCTCTATCATATCTACACTTGAAACTGTGTATGGTGGTATCTATGCATACTGTCGCGTGGATTGAGAGCTAGATCTTATTTTCCGTGAGCCTCTCCCTTAGCGAAGCACTGTTAGGTAACCACCCTACCCGAGGAACTTAGATATAGCGAACATTTCCCACGCCACTTACTCCCACAAGTCATTTTTAACAATTTTGTGGTTCGCCTTTACCAAGCCTGTAATAATTGCGTCTGTTTACAAGTGTGTTAAAGTCTTTTGAGGAGATGAGTGGTCGGGCGTTCGCGCCTCGCTACACCTGTCATCCACACCTGCGACCACAGAGGACAGGCATGGAGGGGATAGGAAGGACAGGGATAGGAAGGAGAGGGATAGAAAGGGGGCCTCTTAGGGCAGCAAGCTTCTACCACAGTCCAGACGCTGGGTCGACCCCCAGTTAACAAAGGTATTCAAAAGACCTTTTCTCAAATATTAATCTATATAAAAGAGAATGTTCGTCTATCCATCTGTCTGAGACTGGAGAACAGACGCCTGTGGCTAGTCACACCAAACTTTGCTGGGTGACTGGTGGAGGTTTGGGGATAATCATAGGCAGGACAGGTTTCAAACCCATGTACACTCCCTTGGGTTTAATGGCGATTATATCTCGATCATTTTCATACTCCATCCTCATCCAGATAGCCTGAGGATAGGTCGGGGACGGCTGCAGCTTGAACGAGCATGAGGATTGGTTGCTCTCCAATCACTTGGGATCTTAACAGCTCATCATCACAAGTTTAGTCTAATTAAGAAGTACTAGAGAGGAAGACCTATTGAAGGAGTACTAGAGAGGAAGACCTATTGAAGGAGTACTAGAGAGGGAGACCTATTGAAGGAGTACTAGAGAG